CATTTAATAGAATCACAAAGGACTCTATCCATCTTTCACATTTTTGCTGTTGTAATCAATAACTCATTCTATGACTGCACACATTCCACTGTATATATTTAAAACACAAAGTCAAAACAGCAAACCATTCATCTGTTGATGGATCTTTGGGTTGGTTCAGTTTTGAGTTATTATAAATAAAGGTAAGAACATTCATATAAGTTTTAAATAAACAAATGTCTTCATTTTTATTAGGTAAATAAATGTCTACGAGACAAATAGCAAAGTTACACAGTAAGTGTATTAATTATTTTAAGAAACTGCTAAACTGCTTTCCAAAGTACTCCTACAATTTCACATTCCGAAAACTGCTTGAGGGTCACAGTTTTTCCACATTCTCTCCAAAACCTAGTATGGCCTTTTTACATTTCAGTCGTTCTAATGGGTGTGTATGACATCTCCTAGTTTCAATTTACAAAATAATTAGATGCTAAACATCTTTTTCATTCTTATATGCCATCTAATGATCTTTTCCACAGAACTATGTTTAACTATTTTTGCCAATTTATAACTGTTAGTGCACTGTTGCTGAGTTTGAGTTTATATATTCTGAATATAAATACTTTATCAACTATATGCTTTATAAACATGTTCTGTCCCTCAATGGCCATTTTTAAGTTTTGCTTTAAGACCAGGAATATTTACTGATGATATCAAGTCCCACATATTCTCTATAGATTGTGCTTTTAGTTATTTCTAAGAAATGTCTGCCTATCAAAGTCACAAAGACTTTACACTGCATTTTTTTCAAAAATGCTAAAATTTTAGGTTACAATCCATTTAGGACTGTTTTGTATGCACTGGGAGATATAGTGCCAAAATATTTTTTTCTGGCATCAAATCCAGTATTTATAACACTGTGTTGCAAAGTCTGCCACTAAACAAACTTCTCACCTTTATCAAAATTCAGTGGTCCTTAACTGTGAGGATTTACTTCTAAAATCTTTTTTTTTTTCTCATTGAGTTTATTAGTATTTAGGTATACAGTACAGTTACATTCATCATTGGGATCTTGTACCTTTACATGACAGGTCTTGGTTCTCATTTTTCCCCTTATCCCTGCCCTCCCTTCACCCTCTCCTCCCTTCCCTATTTACAAATATTTTATTTCCATTTTTTCATGTTTTTTTTTCCTTTTCCCTTATTTCCTTTCCCCTATACCTTTAGCCCTTTTCTTCCTATTTCACATTGTCAATTATCTCATTAGGATATTATGCACCATTATAGTTTTTCACACCAGAGATACTATTTGGTATTTATACATGTGTGACTTATTTATTTCACTTAGGAGTATATCCTCAATATGTATCCATTTTCCTATGAATGACTCTAACTTCTCATTCTTTATGGCTGAGTAGTATTCCATTTTATAGAAAAACCACACCTTCTTTATACTTCTAAAATCTTTATTCTGTTCCACTAACTTGTATTTCTTTTTTTTTTCCCCTCATTGAGTTTATTGATACATTTTAGGTATACAGCACAGTTACATTCATTACTGGGATCTTGTACCTTTACATGACAGGTCTTGGTTCTCATTTTTTTGCCCTTGTTCCTGCCCTCCCTTCACCCCTCCTCCCCTCCCCCTTTACAAACACTTTATTTCATTTTCTCATATTTTTTTCTTTTCCCTTATTAGCTTTCCCCTACCCTTCCCACTTTCCCTACACCTTTAGCCATTTTCTTCCTATTTCACATTGTCCATTATATCATTAGGATTTTATGTACTATTATAGTTCATTCACACCAGAGAAACTATTTGGTATTTACACGTGTGACATATTTCACATAGGAGTATAGCCTCAATATGTATCCATTTTCCTATGAACTAATCTAATTTCTCATTCTTTATGGCTGAGTAGTATTCCATTTTGTAGAAAAACCACGTCTTCTTTATCTAGTTTCCAACTGATGGGCAAATGGGCCGTTTCCAAGTTTTAGCTATTACAGATTGTGCCGCTATAAATATAGGTGTGCATATATCTCTGTGGTATGATTCTTTTAATTCTTTTGGAAAGATACCCAGCAGAGGGATGGCTGGGTCAAATGGAACCTCTAGTCCCAGCTCTTTGAGGTATCTCCATATTGATTTCCATAGTGGTTGCACCAGTCTGCACTCCCAACAATGGAGAAGGGTTTCTTTATGCCAGTATCATGCTGTTTGATTAGTGCAGCTTTACAGTAATTCTTGAGACTAGGCAATGAATGTTCTTTTTCACTACTGGCTTTTAACTATTCTCCTTTTACCTTTTTTAAGATTTACTCTTATCATTAGTTTTAAGTATTCTATTATGTGCCCAAAGATGGTTTTTAAAATTTATCCTCCACGGGAGGCTTAACTGAGCTTCTTAGAACCGTATATCGATATTTCTTCCAAATTTTAGAAATTTTCAGTCATCCCAACTACAAATACACACACAATTTTTCCTCAACCCATTCTCTATTCACTCTTTGGAATTCCTCAGACTGCTTGATTATCCCTTAAATGTATTTTGTTCCCTCTAGCAGACAAAATGAATTGTCATCTGTATTCAAGTTCATCAAACTTCTTCTGTTGTCCTCATTCTGCTGTAACTTCAATCAATATTTTTATTTCAAACATCCTACTTTTCTGTTATGTTTCTATATGCTTTCTTTATATATTTTTTAACATCTCCAAATATGTTCCTCCATCTATTTGCTCATTACTTCAGTCTTTTCCCTTAGAGCTTGAAAATATGTACAGTCCCTGTCTGCAAATTTTATTATCTAGTAATAATTCTAATGCACTGTAATAAATGACTATTGAGTGCTGCTTCAACAGTTTATGGATTCTATTTTCTAAGTTCTTCACATGACTTGCAATTTTTTATGCTGGACTACTGATATCATGGGTAATCAATGTAGAAGACTGAATCATGTTGTCTTCTTTAAGGATTGTTTTGTACTGGCAAACAATTAAATTACTGATGAAGCCCTCATCTGAGTCTAGACTTTTGGTTTCTTGGACAAATGGGACTTATTAAAAAAGATTCTTTTAAAAGTCAGGAGCTCTCTGTCATCTATCTTTAGAGCTTGAGGTTATTCTGAAGATATCTGTATTTTGACTGCCCAGAGTTCAAACTGTCTCAGCACTGTTCAACCTATGGAATCACCATTTACCTCAGCCCCAGAGAAGGTGATTTCTGATAGATATTGCAAAGTCTTAATCTGTACACATGTAACCCAGTCATTACCTGAACCAAACTCTGCCCTTTGCACAATACCCAAACTTTAGGACAATTTACTTTTCTCCAGGATCCTTCTCCACAAAACACAGATGTTTAAGGTACTCTAAATTCCAATCGCAAGTCTCTTCAGTTCAGTGAGACCTCGATACTCTGCTTGGGCTCTTCTACCCTGAGCTACAACAGTAAGGTATCCCAATGAATATTCAGGAAATTCACCTCATGCTTCCCTTTACTCATGGATAATAATCTCATAGTTTCTGCTCATCAAGTCCAGACATCAGCTGTTCTATGTGCTTTATCCAATTATACAGTTTTTGGTTTTAGGGGAAGAAACTGAAAAAGGAGCCAATGTTGGATCAGTTACTCTCATAACTCTGCATGTTATTTTTAAAAACATTTCAAATATCTATTATTATGTACTAATTTAAAAAGCAAAAGAAACAAAGCAGAGCTACAGACATTTAAGCCTATTTGCTCAATCACTTGAACATACCTTATCAAAATCACATCACTTTTGTCTTTTAACCGCTACACAGAAAAACTAATACTTAGTAATATGTATTAACAAATTCATCTTCACATCATTATACCTAAGTATTTCATTTTAATTTTTATTTAACAGAAATGTATACGTTTATTTCAAGTTGCATACACATACAGTAATGCCTACCTGAGGTAAACTAAAATGTCTTCTAGTTTTTCATGATCCTTTTACTACCTAATATATTTAGTTCCTTAAGCAAGTACTTCAAAAAAGAAAAAAGAAAAAAGAACTTTCCCTTAAGGCAAACAGTGTGAAATGCAGGATTTATAAAGTAAATGCATTCAATTAATAAAAATAATCAGACTCAAGATTTCGTTGATAAGTCATAGTCTAAAACTTGATAAATTATTAACAGATGTTAAAACAATTGACATTTCAGATATAAATATATATACAATTCAAAGAAACTCTGACCTTTAAAGACTAAATAAGTCATCTTAAATTTATAAGTAGATAACATAATCAACTGAAACAACTATAATATTGTCACAGCAAAGAAAAATGGATGACAAACTATATACTTACTTTAGATTTTAAGTTTATGCTTTAAAGTTTATGATATAAGGAATACTTAACACATGACACACAAACACAACAATACATAAAGGGCACAAGAAGAGATTTTAACATGAAAGAAAGTCATATTTTTTGTGGTTAAAGCAATCAAGACCACACTGTGGTAGAATGGGCCTACAGTCCCAGCTAAAGGAAGATCATATGAGCCAGGAGTTCAAGGACAAACTGAGCAACACGGGGAGACTTTATCTCAAAAAACAAACAAACAAAAAAAACCAAAATCCAACTTTGACTGTATTTTAAACACAATGGAATAATAAATGTAATATCTGGGGTGACAGATATGCCAGTTACCGCCAGCTGATCATTACACATTATATCTTTAAAGAAATGCTACACTATACCCAATAATTATGTAAAATTACTATGTCAAATATATTTTTAATTTTAAAAGATTAATTAATCATGCAGTTAAAAAACAAAAATACAAAATTTTAGGGCCAAGAGCATAGCTCAGTGGTACAATGCTTGTGCAGTCATGTGTGAGGTCACCCGTCATATACTTAATTTCCTTTAAAATGTTTCAAAACAGCATTTACAAGTAAAGGCTATCGTGGTATATAATAATTTTAGTCTTAATTTTCTGCCCCATAAGACAGCAAATGATGGGTTGTTAGGAGAAAAATGCTTACCTGTAACTACCATGCCACTCATATTAGAGTTTGGACTACTGAGAACACTGCCTGAGAGTAGTTCGTCAGATCCTCTCTATAAACACACACAAAAATAAGTGTAAGACATCTTTAAATTTAAAACTATTACTCTGAAAAACGTTCCACTTACATGTTGCTTTTCAAATATTTATTTTAAAATAAATGTCAAATGTTACACTACTGGCAATATATATACGAAAATCTGTAAGAGGAAAATGTATACAATGAGAAGTTTCTTTGCAAAAATGAAATGATTGAATCACATCCTAAAATCCTTTAGAGACTGTTATAAATTCTTGTTTACAAACTGCAGTTATTAACCAGCCATTCATGTTTTAGCTACTGATATTTAAAAAATGTATACTAGCTGATTCAAACAACTAATTAGAAAAAGAAATCCAAAACACCAAGTTAACCCCAAGTTATACTTATTTATACTGAAACTCATCTGCTGAATTTAAACTCATAATATGAAAACAGTAAACAAAACTCCTAAGTCATCTCCGTTAAATGTGTTTAAAGTTTTCTCTTCCTCAGCCTCAAACATTCAGATAACTACAAGAAAAAAAAGGTTTCAAGGCACAACAATATTTGTACCAAGTCTAATTTGTAATCAAGATATGGAAGGTTTGGTGACAGTTATGTTAGATATAACTGAATAATTTACAGATTTTTTAGTGTGGCCCCTTAGACTAACACCAGACCTGGAAATCTGTTGGCAATTTATGTTCTTAGATTTATTCCAAACCTACTACATAAGAAATTCTGAGGGTGAGCCCAGCAATCCAATTTTAATATGCTAAAATTTAAGAACCACTAATCTGTATTAATGGTTTACTATCAATAAAAAAAATCTTGGCTAGCTAGTTTTTGTTTTCATGTCAAATATTTAATATGGTGATAAAAAAAAGCTCTGGAGCTCAGTTTTTATCAAATATGTAACTGTTATTTAACTATTCTAAGCCTTAAATTCTTCATTTGTAAAATATGGATAATACCTGTATCACAATCCTTAGAATTAAATGTGATAATGTGTGCTTAGTGATTACCAAAGTTCCTGGCCCACATTAGTAGTGTTCACCGAAATATAACACAAAGTCCACACGTACTTATCAGTAAATGCTGTTTGGATAAATGTCCCCCATGTGGTAAAGCTTTGATTCCCCAGCCTATGGCACTACTGGGAGGTGGTGGAATTTTAAAAGGGGGAGACTTAATGGGACATCATCTATGGGGGCTTCCATTTACAGGGGATACTAGGACTTCACAGCCTTTCTCTTCTATTCTTCTGCTTTCTCAGCCAAGATGTGAGCAGGCCTCTATCACTGTTACTAAGTACTGTGTAACTTCAGGCACATATTATTCTCCCCCTATCCAGGAGTATGTTCCAAGATCTTCAGTAGATTCCTAAAAACTCAACAGGAACCAAACCCTGCATACACTGTTTTTCCCTATATACTCCATACCACTGACATTTAGTGGTAAAAGTAATTTGTCCCTTCATGTTTTATACCCTGGCATCTCCTTTCCATCACTATTCTTTGCAGCCATTGTTAAGTAAAATAAAGTTACCACACCAGTCTGTTATCTAAAACAGATACTAAGCGACTCTTAAGTAGGTATTATACACATCGTGGATAGTCCCGACAAAGGGATGGCTCATGTCCAAAGGCAGGAGAAAGCAGGGCAACAAGAGACTTCACCACATTGCTCAAAATAACATACAATTTAAAACTGATGGAACTGTTTATTTCTAAAATGTTCATTTTATATTTTCAAACCAAAAAAGACAAATGGTAAGCCACAGAAAATAAAAACACAGATAAGAGAGGATTACCGTATTTTTTTAGCATTTGTTCTTCTATCAACTAAAAAAAAAAATCACTCTGTATGCAACAGAGAATGTTAAAGTTTCTTACACAGAATAAAATCAGCCCATCTATATATCAATAGAACTACAAATCAGATATTATAGAGTTAAAAGAAAAAAGAACAGTCATTCTTTACTCACTTGTACAGAAGTTAGAATCCCTTATCATTCAATAACTTACTCCACCTTAGTTTGCCAAAACCAATTTGGCTCCTCCCCGACCAGTTTTCAAAAAGTGTATCTGATCTCTTTTCAAATACATTACCATTCAGATATTCTCTACCTGTTTGCTTTGTTATGAATCAAACTCTTTCCACTCCAGTGAATCATAAGTAATTCTGAACGATGATGGGTGGGGAAATCTGACTTAAAATGTTCTCCTGCCTACCTTCCTAGGATGAATCTTTTATGCATGGCAAAGTCTTACGTTTTTTTGCATATGTGGTCTATTTTGTTCTTTAAATTATTTCATATCTAAGAGAATACATTTAATTGCCACTATAAATGAGTCAGAAAAACTGCTATCTAATTGTCGTCAATTTGGAGTATTTACAAGGATTACTGAAAAATATTTTGATCAATCACATTTTTATAAAAAAAAAGCTATTATGTTTCCCTCTCCACTGAATAAAAAGCTTACAACTACTCTATCCAAACATTAACACTGACCAATACAACAATTTTACGGAAAATATTACCACCCATTTAAATTGGAATATACATAAATGAGTTAATGGTAATGATTGATGGCTATTCCACAGTGCCGGTGGATACAAATAATAGTAAGAGTACTTAAAATCAAAATCAAAATTTTTACAAAGAGTATGTAGTCTTTAAAAAAATTAATTCATCTTATATTCAACTAAGAAAATAAATTCAGTATTAAGCAAGCATGTCTCTTGCTAACTCTGATCACAGAAACTTTTCCTCCTGTGTAGTATCAATAACTGTTTAAAAAAAAATGTTTTTTTTTTTTAAAAAAAAAACCTAGCATCCCAAAGAAATAATTTGGAAAATGTCCACAATGGATGACATAATTTATAAATCTAAAAAAAGGCAAGGAATGAGATCACATGTACAAAAGTACATGATTAGAGGCTATTTGGCATTAATTTTGATATTAATGTTTTTCCTATCATATTTATTGCACTTTTCATTGTGCTTGTTCAATCTAACCACCATCTGTTATTCCCAGGTAGAAAGTTGCTACAGCTGTCTGGAAGGCAACCAAGAACCATTGGACTGAAGATGACAAGTCCCTGGCTTCCTCTAGAATTCCACACAGATCTTATAATAAACTTTCTTCTCTGAAAAAAATCTAGGAAATCATGACAGACATGCGGCAAGGACACAAATATCAAGTTCCTGAGGAAAATTAGATTGAGAGAAGTTATACGAACCCATAGGAGTATCTGTGATGTATGAAACACAGAACAAGGATATGAATAGGTACATCTGAGTACTACGTACCTATTGGGAAACAGGAAAGGATTTACCTCATAGGACCAATCAAAATATACAAAACAAAGCTTGAGAACATGATGGCAATCCCAGCAAACTGGGAGGCTGAGGCAGATGAGCAAATTGGCAAGACCCTGTCTCAAAATAAAAAATTTCAAAAAGGGCTACATATAGCTCAGTGAAAGGCCATGGGGTCAAGTCCCTATATTGCAAATATATATAATAATTATAAAACACACATAAATGGTATACTGAAGAGGAGCTATAAAAGCAAGGTGCCTTAAAAAACAAAAAATAAACCTCTAGGGAAACTAATCCTCTCCCTGGGAAAAAAGCAGCACACAGTTAAACATCAGCCAAGCCAGCCAAGAACAAAAGCTTAAGAGACCAGTGAAGAAACTAGGCATAGTGATTATTATGGAGTAAATTAATGCCATTTTCTTACACCAGGAGGATTTTTGCTTATAAGAGAGAAATCCACTTCTAGTCTACTTATGTCATTGTGCTCTGCATTTTGTGGCTTAGCCTTTATCCTAAGATATGTGTACCTATTACATGGGAGGAAAATAGCACTGCTGATTTAATCTAATTGGCTAACTCTTATTGTGTCAGCAAAAGGAAAATGGATTGCTACCAAATTTATAAACAAAACAAAATTTTACAACAGAGATCAATATAAACAGGAAAACTTTTTTCCAAAAAAGATACATAAAATACTTTAAAATTCTTTGTATGTAAAGACGTTTAAAACACAAGGAAGGCTGGGCATTGTGGCATACACCTGTGATCCCATTGGGAGGCTGAGGCAAGAGGATCACAGTGAGTTCAAGGCTAGCTTGGTCTACAAAGTGAGTTCAAGGCCATCCAGAACTATATAGTGAGACCCTGTCTCAAATAAAAAAAAAAGGAAAGACAAAAAAAACAAAGACACAAGGAAACTGAACATAAAAGGAAATACTGATAAATTCTACAAAGTAGTCACTAATGTCTATGCAAAAAACTATCTCAACAATAACTATTAAGATTTATGATATTTTGAAATATATATTGGTCTTTATCCCCATTTTCTAACATTTAACTCCTAAAATCCAAACTGAGAACCTTTTTAATATGCTAATGAGCTCATTTATAACTGACAGTCTAGGAACTTCAGAGTGGGGGCTGGTCACTGGAAGATCAAGCAAGGTACGAGGGATGCAACTTCTATTCTCATCCCTCTAGGGGAATTGGGAAGGGAGGAAGTCGGTCCAACCTCTAGGGGAGAAGGGAAGGAAGTTTAAACTGGTCAGTAATGATCAATAATTTCACCAATCCTGTGTATGTCATGAAGCCTCCATAAAAAATTTTTAAAAATGGGGTTTGGAAAGCTTCTGAATAGCTCTGTAGAGGTTCTGTAATAGGGACTTAAGAGAGGCTGCTTTTGGTAAGCAATGATTCTTTATTTGTGCCTATAATCTTGGGGTAAAAGCAAGACAAAGCCTTGGCCTCTTTCCCACTCATTTTGTACAGTACCTATCTCCTTATTACTAAACTTTGGGTCAGATTCCTATTCAGCTCTGTAAACATATAAATTACTTAAGGAGTGTCTGTCTAAAACTCCCAATACTAAGGTGATTTGATTAGCCCTAAATTTATCTAACCTCCTCTCCCTGCTTCAAGACTAAAGACACTAACATAAAACATTGAGAAATTTTCACAGTTCTAGGAACAGGGTCCCTTGTAGG